ATTGATGTACGAATTCAAACTTTCGCCAAAAATTAATAGAAAGCTCACCTCTTTTTTTTTCAATTCGAACAAATCGAATTCTACAAATTTTGATTTAGATATACTAAATATACTAGATAATTAATTCTTTTATGGGAAAAAATTTTGAATTTTACGGGAAACTTCGGAATTTTCATAAAATCGTAAATTAGAATAAAAATCGTTATAAAAAAGAATAACAGAATAACATTTCGGACAAGGAACAAGTCAAAATCAGATTAGCTACCTGATTCTAAATGCTAGTATTGCAATAGGATTTAATTTTAGAGGCATGAAATTTTGTAGTTATATAAAATAGTCACTAGATATTAGATAAAATTAAAAATTACTAAAATAATTTTGCAAATTTTTATCAACAGCTAACAATTGTTTTTCTGCTACATATTGTGTAATTTGAGTTCATTCAACTTATTTTCAATGATAATATAATTAATTTATTTATTATTATATTTTGCTTTTTATAATTATTTTTTGTAAAAAAAAAAAATAATAATTAAAGTAAACAATTAAAATTTGTTTATATAGTTTTTTATTGTTTTTATAAATAATTCTTGTGTACGTGACATTTAAACTTATATGATGACTAAGTATGCTCATCAGAGAGACTTTTGATCAATAAGCCAGCCAGTCAGACATTTAAAAACAGAAATCCTTTCGGATTACAATACTTTCTGTTTCAATTACAAATTATTTTCGTTTTCAACTTATTTTTCTAAAACACATGCTTATATATAAAATAACCTTGATTCACTTACTGAATTAATTATAATGTCTAGCTTATCAACAAAATATTCACAATATTTTTTTTTTGTTTACAACTTGTTTTTTTTTTTCGAATTTATTTTTATATTTTTTTTTCAATATTGTATTTTTTAATCAAAAGAATCTGATTATTGGCTTGTGTTTCATATTATTGCCATTTTATATGCAAATTTTCTTGTTTCAAAAAAACCAAAAACAAAAAAAAAAGGAGGAAGTTTTTGAAGACAAAACTAAAACAAAATTGAATTTAAATCAAGATGAATAAAAATTTTATATTGCTATTGGTAACAATTAATAAAAAAGAATTAAAAATTTTAATTATTATGCAGAAACAAAGAAAAGTTTAGAAATAAATTTAAATTAAATAAATGGTTTGCAAAACAGCAATTTTCTATTTTCCAAACGATCTTCTACCTAAATTTTTTCTCAATAATATACCGTAATTTTTTCTCTTATTTTCAAATTATGCTATTCTCAATAACATAATATGTACCTCTCAAATAAATAATATACCTCTCAAATTATGAGATCTTTTCAATTATAATTGCATACTTTTAGGCCGATCAAAAATAATTTTCTCCAGTTCGACGGTTAATTTGATGAGTTAAGATAAACAATTACATTTTGCGATATAGAACTATATTTACAGTTAGTATTTTGTTTTTATAGAAACTTGCAAATTCGGGAAAATTATGAGCCAAAAATTGAAATCTGCTGACCTGTAAAGCGTGGGAGCTGAAATAAATTTTGTTCCCACAAAATAAACCGTTTATTAATTTTTTAAAATTCTTTGATACAAATTGGTTGTAAATTAATTAATTTGTTGCAAGGGGCGGCTCCGCTGAAGGTAAAAATTTTGCGCTGAAAAGAAAACGTTTCTTGTTATTGTCCATTATTGTATTTTTCTCTTAAAGAACGTAGAAGATTTTTGAATTGGCTGAACGGATGAACTGATATAATAAGTCAATAATCAAATCTGTCTTGAAATTTCGTTGGCATATTTTCAAATATGCTAAAAATACCTCTTTTTGGTCATGTTATTAATACTCGTAACAAATAAATTCAGAAATAAGCGCATAGCCAGTTTGTTTCACTTTATTATTCCGAAATTATGCAAGTTTTTTTTTCAATATTTCAATTAAATTTAAAAATTTGTTTTTTGTTTTTCCCTTATTTTACATTATTTCAACTGTTATTTTTATAAACTGTTGTTATTTTTCATACAAAATAACTTTATCTTTCAACCACGCGAATTAAAAATTTAAAGAAAAAAAATTAAAATCATGTAGCGAGTTTTTTTTTTTTTTTGTATTTTTGTTTTTTCGAAAAAAAATACATGAACAAAATGAAAGAAAACTAAAAAATTCAACTGTTTTTTTTTTTTTTAATTTTTTTTTTAAAGTTCAATGAAACCTAATTGGGTGCCATGAGATTATTAACAAAAAAGAAAAAAAAAATTCAACATACCACCACACCACATTATCCAATTAATATGGTGTATACATAGAATATTTTACTCGTTTGAACGCTACTAGTATACGAGTATAATTATAATAATTTTATGCTGCCCATATTTAATGTGTACAACATTGCATTACGTCATCGTTTGCATAGTAAAATTCAATTTTTCATTGGTTCAATATTTAAAAATATATAATTTAAAGTTTTCAATTGTTATTATTTAAAAAAAAAATCTATTGTTTAAAAGAAGGTAAACAAGGGTATTAGAATTGAAAAGTATAACAGTTTATACGTACAGAATGTTTTAGAAAATTTTGGATAATCTTTGAGGCTCTTGTGATTCTCGTTTTTAAGAAATTCTCGTCAAAATAGGCAAATATGATGTCAGACGCATGAACTTGCTCTTTAAGAAAATTTAATTTTACTATAGCCAGAGTTTTAATTCTAGTGTAGCCAACTTGTTTAGTGTACGAGTATATTATCAATACATTTTATTAAATTTTCCAACTTAAAACTTTTACTCAGTGAATTTGGAATACTTCGCCATCATAAATTTTTTAAATTAATCTTCCTTTTATGCAAGTTATTATCAATATAAATTTTAATAAGGCACAATTCTGCGTTTGTAAGGTAACGGTGGCTCTTCTTCTATTACTAATTCTAATTCACCACGGTTTAATGAGTATTCGGTCAAAATTTAGTTCAGATATGAACCTATATTTTAAAATGAGTTTCAAAAGTATAATCAAATTTTTTTTTTTTTTATTTAGGCAGCTTTCCCTTAAAACCACATAGAAACACAATTGTGTTTTTATCAAAAGTATGATGAAATATGAATTGTTCTTTAATTACACCATATTTTCAACATTTTATAGAAAAGCTATTTTAGCTATTTAAAAAAATTATTTTTAATTTTGTTGAAATTTTTCAAACATTCTGTAAGCATTTTTAAAAATGTTATTTATTTGAATTCAACCTTAAGTTCATTTTAATAATACAATCTAATTGCATTACAATTTTGTCAGATTATGTAGGCAAATGAAAATCCCTGCGGCTTTTGGTAATGCAATTTTCTTTTTCTTTTGGTAATGCAATAATATTTCGACGATTTTATGGATTTCTAATATCTTAAATATAGAAGTAAATAATATCTTAGGTGTATTGTTGTGAATTTAATAACATATAATCTTAATTTGAAAGTTTCAAGTATTTTATGAGATTAAATAGATTATTACACTTAAAATTTATTCATAATTTTCAAGTTTATTTAAATTATGTCTATACGCTCAAATCAGCACTCCTAAATCTTAAATATTCTTAATTTTAGTCTAGAATTGAATTTGTGTAAAGTAAACGTAATCCTTATTTATAATATTGAGTATTTTGGGCGTTTTATTAATTTTGAAACCCCTTGAATTCGTAGTTTATTAATTTATTGCAATTAAATATTTCATTCATGCTTGACTTGAATGCTTGCTTTTTTAACATTTTATTATTTAAAAGTAATAACAGCATCAGTACTTGTACATGATGATTAATATTCAGCAATATTCTGGTAACAATATATTGTCCAGAGCGATTGTCAAATACTTCTTCTATGTGTTCTTTCATTACAAAATTCCGCCTATATTTTTTACTTGCTATGCTATTATGCTGTTTTCTATAGATATTTCTCATATTATTAGAATATCTGAACTTAATATTGTGAACAGATTTAAAATTTCCAATATTGACCACATATTTTGGATGTTGGTCTTTTATACTGAAATTATGTTTTTTGTATAATGAAATGCTAAACCATCAAAAGCTATACAAGACTTTGGAATCTGAATTTAATACAAGCAACTCAACTTCTAAATTGGAGCAAATCTTAATTCGGCAATTACAATCTCTTAAGCATTATTTGAAAATTTCTTAAATTTACAATATGTTCGTTCCAGAATTTTATTGCCTCTTCAAGAGAAGACTCTTTTTCAATAGTGTTAAATACTTTTCAAATCGTTTTATCTACAACAAGAAATAGAATATTGTATTTCAACCTTCAATATTTTGCTAAATTCAAAATATTTTTTAAATAAAAAAAAATTTAAATTTTGTATAGCAGCCCAAGATTATTTAAACTCTAAAAAAACAATATAAGAGACCGTTATGAGAAATCAAAATTTTACACAAAATAACAAAAACTATTGAAATTTTGTATTGGAGAACAAAAATATTGGAGCACAAAAACCTTGAAAAATTTTTCTTAAAAATTTAAAATCACAAAAAAAAATAATAAAAACCAAAAAAATTTTTTTTTTTGTGGACAACAAAATTTCATCACGTTCTCCATTTTTTATATGTATGCACGAGTCTCAATCTTATACTATATAGAATGGACACATTTATGTGTATATATGGATTAAAAGAAAGCTATACACAATATCAATGCTATCACTGTAGCAGCTTAATTAAGGCGATGTTGCTGGTGTTGTAAAAAAAAAAAAAAACCGGCTTTTCAAAACAACAAATTGTTTTTTTTTAGTTTTGATTATCAAAAACAGACTTTGAATTCTTTTTAGTAAATTTGAAAGTAAATTGATAATATTTTTATGTAAATTAATTAAGTATATTTAAAAATATCTATACATATATATTTTATTATTATATAAATTAACTATAAATAAATAAAATTTTAATTTTAAAACGGAAGAATACAAAAATTTTTAATACAAAATTTTTTTATATTTTCATTTTAGGTACATACACTTTCAATATCAGGTTCGAGATCAAATATACAATTACCACAAAAACCATTTTCATCTGTTATACCAAATATTATAACAACAACAAATACAACAAAACATACTAAAAAAATACCAAGTGTATGTAATGGAAATTTTTGTTTATTAAATAGACAACAATCGAGACATTTAAATTCAAGAGATTATTCTTTATCAAAGAAATCATCAAAAGAAAAATTGGAACATGAATATGATAGTGATTCAGATTCAGATAATGATGAAGTATATGAAAAGAATCATCCAAAAGGGAAACAAAGGGTAAATGATCGTAATTAATAAATTTTTTTTTTGTTAATATTGGAATGAACACACAATTTGTACATATGTATGCGCCTCAGTAGAATATTTCTTTGTTAATTAATATTTTAATTCTGATTTAATTAATTGGAAAGAAAGTCCATTATATGCATAGTAATTTTCTTTGTATTTTATAAAATATCACTTGAGATTCTCTTGCTTTTCATTTTAAAACATAGATGTCTCTTTATTCTATTGTCTGCGTTTTAAATATTATTTAGTAATTTTTTGTAGTCAGATTTGAAGCGTTCAGTACATTAATGGTCATCAAATATTTTTGCAAAAAATTAGTTCTTATGCTCAATAGAGCTGTAATGGCCTTAAAGAATTGTTCTATGTTTATTTTCAAAATACTTAGTTCACTGTTCTCTTCACTCTATTTTAAAATAATTTCGTTTTTGTCTTTTAAAAATTTTCTTAAAAATTATATACTCGTATTTCAATTGCAGTTTACTCGAAATGTCATTTTTGTTAGTAGGCCACTAATTTCCTGAGCGCCTCATTTATGAATTCAATATTAATAATTTAAAAAATAGACGCATGAATCTAAAAAAATATTAACTAACTGAATTTCAATTTTTTTATTAGATAACACCTTTAATTTTTCATCGACATTATAAAAAATTAATATAACTTAAAAAAATAACCTTGTACCCTATAGATTATAATAATATGGTATTATGATTTTATTTTTAATCTATACAATTAATTTGCATATTTTCATATACATATGTACATACATATGTTGTATATATAATTGTATAAAAAAATATTCAAAAGATTTCAAGCATTTACTGTGATAATCTTATATGCTTGTATGTATGTATGATTTTATAAATTGAATTTATTAATTTTTTTAATTTTTTTTATGTATAACTCAGATACATAAGAGTTTTATTTATAATATAGAGTTATGATTGTATTAAAAAAGAAAGTTTTAATTTTTTTTTACGTAGTATAACAGTTTTTAAATATGAAATATGAAAAATTCTGTTAATATGCCCAAAATGTCAATTTATGCCCAAAAATTATAGAATTGCGGATATAATTTGTCGTTAATAAAATTATATTTCCAATTACTACGAATATTGGTCATCTGGCAAGCTATAGACTTTAATTTCGATTAAAATTATTTGAATTATTCTTCATATTTTTACGTTTTAACTACTAAAATTGGATTTTATTTTTATATATTTAGTAAATAAGTACAAAATTCTTATATTTTCTGTAAAGAAATTTTTTTGGGCCTTAAATTACTCTATAATTTTTATTTATTTGCTACTAATTTCTTTTGCTTATTCAAAATTTCTTACTCATTTCTAGGTAGTAGGTGAAATTATATATGAAATGATCAAGCACCTTGTATTCGTTTAATGTGTTTTAAAATAACATTATAGGGAGCCAATTAAAATTTTTTAATTAAAAATTTTGTGAGTTAAACTGAGAAATGCCAACGAAATTGTTATATTATGTAGACAATTAATAGAATTGTCGAGAATATTTAGCTGTAAATTAGGACCCATGGAAATTTTAGTCAGTAAAAATTTCTCATCAAAGTTATAAATAAATTTTTTTTTTTAAATTTTCAAAATTTTAAAGGCAAATTTAGAAATTATTTTAATAAACGCACCACTTAAATTTAAAGTGAGTTTCTTTACATAATTATTTAGATTGGTCTAGAACAGTTCATACAACACATTTAATTAAAATAGTTTATATTATAAAACAAAATGTTTTCTTGAATTTTAACTAATTTTAATTTAAATAATTTGTTTTTTTATATTTTAGGGTGATTCCGAATTTTGGCGTCGTAAAATGAGAACATTACATGGTATTTTAGACATTAATAATGATGGTGTTATATCATTCGATGATTTTATGTTATTAACCCGGAAATTTACTGATTTAGGTCATTTAGGACCAAATACTTCAACTGAATTTCTTGAAGTTATGAAGGTAAGAATATTTTTTACAGGATATTTATACCAAAATTATTGATCTAAGGTCAAATTGAATGTTTTAACACTCAATAATAAAATTTTAATTATTGATTCAATTGATTTTTTGATATACAATAAAATTTTTTTGCCCTAATATTGTTAGGAAATATTAAAATTTATTTAAAAAGTTTAATTCTTTTTTTTTTGCTTTCTAGAAAACATGGGAAGATCAATGGGGTGAAATAACACCATATAATTTAGTAACAGCTGAACAATTTTTAACTGATATGCATCATGCCTTAAATGATAAAGATTTAGTTAAAAATATTGGTAAATTTTTACCATATTTCTTTAAGGTAATTAAAAAAAAAAAAAAATAATAAATTACATTCTTTTTCATATTTACGATATTAATGTTGAATATTTTTTTTGTAATATTTTTTTAGGCAGTTGATATAGATCGTTCTGGTTATTTAGATCTTCATCAATTTAAATTATTTTTTAATTGTTTGGGATTAACTGATGAAGATGCTGCTGTTTCATTTGCTGTGATAGATAAAAATGGAGATGGTAAATTAACTCTAAAAGAGTTTGTTAAATTAGGAAAAGAATATTTCCTTACTGAAGATGAAAGACGAGTATCGAGAATGTTTTGGGGACCATTAATTAATCATTAGGTTAAGTTTTAAAAAATAAGAGATCAATATTATAAATAAATAATAAAAGCAAATAAAATGTAAAAGATGGAAGACTTAAAAAATGAAGAAAAACAAAAAAAAAAATTACATTTATTCTAATGTATAAATTTGAATTTTTTTTTGGGCTCAAAATTTTAAAATTAATTTATATTAATATTATAATTTTATAACTATATTTTGGACGAATCAAAATTAAAATTTTATAAAAATTATTATAATTAATTTTTTTTTAGTAGATGTATTCAAAAATAAAACTTATTTCTAATTTTAAGAGAGATGGTTTCCAAAATGAATATTAGACCGATGTATAACACTTATATACAAAAACATTTTTTTATATTATATATATATACAAGTATATTTAAAATAGTTTTATATATAAATATTATTTAATTTCTTTTTTTTTTTTTGAATAAAAGTTTAATAAACTTTAATTGAAATTTTTTTAATTTCTATGGTTGATAGCAAAAGATTTTTAAATTAACTCCTAAATATTACTAAGATCATTTGTTATACCACAAATTTTATATTGCATTATTTGTTCTATAAATATTTCATTATACTGGCAATTTTATTTAAATTTAGATTTTTGGAATTTAACATGAAACAAAGAATCTGTAAATATCCTACTTATATTGTTGTGTCTAATTAAATTTTGAACTCAATCACTTATTTATTCTCTTAGATGCAACATTTTGAGTTGATGTTACATTATTTAAGTTCAAATATTTTTCAGAAAATTTCAAATACTTTCGAATAATGTGCCATTAACTTAAATGATATATCGTTAAATATTATTAAGGGTGATTATTTTTAATTTTTTGTTAGGATGATGATGCATATTTTATATTATAGAAAATTATATAAATTTAATATTTTATTAATGAAATATTCCTAAGATTAGTAAGATGTTAATGTTCTTTAAGTAGAGAACTGTTATATATTATTAGACACATATATTTATATATTTATATTATATATTTGGTTCTTTCAATTATGAAAGAACCAAATATATAATATCATATATTATCACATATATTATATATTTGGTTCTTTCAATTATGGAATTTGGTCATAGTTCTAATTGTATTTCTACTGTAATTCTAAAATTTTTGCTATAATACTTTTTGATCTCTAGTTTATACCTTTACTATTCAAATTTTACTCCATTTCTAGTTTATATAACATCCAGTTACTCAAATCTAACAAACAGAAATAATTGAAATCTAATAAAAATTCAAAATTTCTAATGAATTCAAAATTTTCTAATTTTCTGGAAATAAAATTAATTTCGAAATTTCAAACTATATGCCGCAAACAGAAATATTTTTCAATAAAATCTCTTTAGTTCAAGTGATTCAATTAACAGAATGTGGGTAAATGAAAATACCCGACAATTTTTATGAAATTTTATTTTATTACAAGAAGTAAACAATAAATTAAACTTACAACAAGAGAAATTGCATAAGAAATCTATAAAACACATACATTAATACACAGATAATTTATTTTAAAATTTTAAGTTAAATTTTTTTTCACTCATTTGATTTAAGAGAAAAGTAAAATTTTTATTTGGAGTAGTGCAAAACTGTAAAGAGAATATTATTCAATTAAACATTCAATTCTTCTATTATCTTTTAGATGTCGCTATAATTAATATAATATTGTTTAATAGGTAAAATTTTACAATATTTGTGGAATTTAAAAAAATCTATATTTTTCACTAAAAGATGTCACAAACAATTTTAAAATATTTCTGAAATTTTAAGTTTCATAATGCAGATGTCACTTTATAAATTCCAAAATTAAAAATAAAATTTTTTATGAATTTGAAATTATTTCGAATAAACCTAATATGGTTTGTGTCCTCATCTTTTTAAAAATAAATTTAATAAATAACTTGTAGGTGGTGCCATCTATTATAAAATACCTTAGAGAATAAAAATTGAAATTAATAGTTAAATAATCAATAAATAGATGGCGCTAGATTTGAATAAAATAAATTACGCTAACTTTAAGATAATTATAATTCGAAAAATACTCACTAGACAATTTAGAATTAAATACGCACAATGTTGAAATTAAATTTTAATGGCATTGCATTATAAAAATTATTATACACAACATTTCTGTTTAACTATTGAAATTGTTATACACTCTTAAAATAACATTGTTAAATTGAAAACAAAAAAGTTTAAAATCATAAATAATTAACAAGAAAAAAAAAAAAATTATTTCGAATCTTTTATATAAAAACTTTACCATTATAAATAAATTCCAAGAACAAATAACTTGAGGGTTATTCCCCTCAATATTTAAATTCTTCATTTCTATTTTCTTATATATACAACCATTTATCTATTAATTATTTATTTTATTTTATTTTTTTTTTTAAATTCCTGTGTTAAAGGTATTGAAAGCATTTTGAATATTCATCTTTCCTTAAATAAAAGTTATATTAGATTTCAGAAATCAGATAAAAACTAAAATTCATTATTCTTATGCGGTAAAAACACATGTGGAGTAAAAAATTTGTACATATGTATGTGTCGTATCGATATGTTGCATATAGTATACTGTTATACATGGTTAATAAGTTTGTATAACAAAGAAAAAACAACTTACCTCTCTTAGCACCTGTATTTTTGGTTAATATATTTTTTATGTATAACAACTTTTAAATGTATATAACAAAAAGAAATCTAAAAAATAAGAAATTGAAGAAAATCTTTTATTCTGGTTTTGTATAAAAGTAAAAATTGAAGTAAATTTTTTTTTGCATTAAATAAAGAAAAGAAGTATTAAGGATGTTTTATATGAATTTGTTATACGCATATATACAGGTGTATTACATATTACAAACTTATATAGATTAATAATATAAAGATAAGGAAAAGGATAATTCATTGCAAATATCCGAATTGTTGTTTATATAAGTATATGAGATATTGGTTTATTTATATGTTATTGTTATATTGGGCTTAATAAAACACAAGAATAGAAAATTAATATATATGATAGGTTTGTATTGTTTGTATGTATATATATATATATATGTAGATTAAATTACTATATATAGACAAAAAGTTTTCTTTCTGATTTCTTTTGAACTATAATAAATATTAGATCCGCAACAATTTAAAGTTTACCACATGATGTAATTAAGATCAGGAAGAAAATGTAAAAAAAAAATAAAAATTTTCCTTTTTGTTTCTTAAACAAAAATAAAAAATAAAAAAAATGGAAAAGGTTACGTAAGAAATTAAAAATATTTCCGAGGTTTTGTTTTATTTTAGATTTGAACAAGATTTTCGATTAATTTATAATTTACTTAAGTATAATATTGATTTGGATTTAGTATAAAAGTTCGAATAGTAAAAATTTTTGGAAATTAAGGACCGCATAGTTTAATTTTTTTTTTTTAATTTTTCTCTTATGTCTTACGTTCCCGGAAATGACAAATATTAATTTTCATTAAAAATTTTTGAAAATTTTATGTTAGCTAAAGATCATTAAATTTTTAGCATGAAATTTCGGAAATTTAGCATTCAAGACAGATCCGGTTTCGTTTTGAATTTAATTTAAAAAATTTTAAATTCCAAGTGGAACAAAATTCGGTTTTTTATCAAATTATCAAAAATTTTACATATAATTTTTTTCTAATTTTCAAAAATTTTGCGTTCCACACGGACACTAATAAAACTTTCAGTTTTACTGTAATTTTTAATAAATTTACATTCGAGACAAACATAATTTCAGTGTTACTCGAATTTTCGAAAATCTTATGTTTCATCACATACTAAATTTTATTTCTAGTCGAATTTTATAAAAATTTTTTACATTCAAGGCAATTAAAAGATAATTTTTAAAATTGAAATTTCAAAAAAATGTTTGCGTACTAGAAGGATAAGATTTAGTTTTGAGTCAAAAATTTCCAGAAATTTTATATTCTAGGCAAACCCGATTTTGATTTTGATTCAATTTTAAAATTGATGGTTTACGAGCTGGAATACACGAAATTTAAATTTTAATTCAATATCAAAAGTTTTACATGCCACAACACTTGAAATTCAATTTTTAGTCGATTATTCAAAAATTTTGTGCTTCACTAGAATAAAGTTCAATTGTTAATTGCGAATTTTCAGTAAATATGAATTTCAGACGGGTACCATATCTTTTTTAATTCAATTTTTACAAATTTTGCACTACAGACACGATCAAATCTCAAAACAAATTTCGACAAGTTTCGTGTTGTAAACAAACCAAATTTTCAAATTAGAAATTCACAAATAATTCTAGTGCAAAATTTTCATATTTCGACTAAATGTTATTGTAAGACCAATTTTTGAATTATTTCCTAACTCTATTCCCAAAAAATCTATTTTCTTATTTACCATCGGTTTACATATACTTTCATTAATTTTATTCTCACGTTTATTTTAAGTTAAACACATAAGTTTTTCCCAATGCACTTGAAAATTTACCAATAATAATAATTTACAATTTAATTTTATATAAAATTTCAAAATTAAAAAATAAATGAGCATAAAGTTTTTTACACATTCATTTCTAATTAAAAGCGTATACATAAGTTTTTGTTTCTGTTATACTGTTCATTTTCTTTTCAATTATACAAACCTTATAGAAGCGATAATATCAATGCTTATAGATAAAATATTACAAGAATGGCGAAATACAAGAGGAATGAAGAATGAGGTGAAATTGTAAGTTAAAAAAGAATGTGTACATATATACGGGTATAACAGAAAATTTTCAAAAATATAGTTTTAGAACATAAGTTTTCATTAGTCATTAAATATTTTGCATCCTCAACTCATTTCGCCTCAAGAATATAGAAATTTTTATTTTAGAGTATATATGAAAGAAAATCCAAGGACTATGGTGTATATAAATATTTTTATATATGAGTCGTATTGATTTAGAAGAAATAACTCTGCATTATTTAAGGAAATATACCTTTAAAATAAAAGAAATCGGGAGCGGAAGTACGAGTATATGTACTTTATGAGGTATCTTGAGAAAGTTTCTCATATATTATTATTTAAATATTAAAAAAGTATTAAACGAGACTACAATATAACATACAAACTGTTATACAAAATAAAATTCATTTACCTATATGTTGTCACTCTAATATTATTTTGTTGTACATCAAATAAAATTAATTTTTGGAACAATCATCTTTAAAACTTAATATTATAATTTTAGAAAAATTGGTTCGCAACTAGGGTAAACTTTTATATTGTAGTATGATTTTTTAAGAGGATGACTGTTTTATAGGAATTGGGAATTATATATGGGATAACAGTTTGTCGTATATAAAAATTTTATTCGACTTGTTTTAAACATTCAAACCTGTATGACAGATAAAAAATTTATATATTACGACAATT